TAATTTCTTACGAAGTTTTGCAAAACTTATGCCTGTTGTTGGACAAAAGCCAGCATTCTCGGATGGTGTAAGAGCCAGGAGGTTCCTTGACAACTCACTTCAGAGCCTAAAGCAAACAGAAAATATAAGATATGGCCCCTTATTAAGACTACCTATGCACTGGAGCAGTGACATTCATTATCACACATTCCGCTGATGCTGTGACTGCTGTTTCCATCACAGAAGCTATTTCCCTTCAGATGAGAAGAGGCGTCATTAATAAATCACATCACATGATATTCCTCTCATATCTGCATAACGTGCCAACATTTTACAGGGAATGAAGTAAAATAGACCCAGAGTTAATTCTATAGCAATTCTCCCTATAATTTTTAGTTTTTATAAAATTTTTTAAATTGTTTTAGATTTTGGTGATACAAATGCAATTTCTTTGCATGGATATAGTGCATACCCGTGAATCCTGGGCTTACAGTGTAACCGTCACCATATTGCATAGATCATACCCAGTCAAGTTTTTCAATCTGCACCCTTCTCTCACTCTCTCACGCTTTCAAGTCTCCAATGTCTACTATTCTGCATTATGTCCATTTGTGCACATTATTTAGCTCTCACTTTTAAGTGAAAACATGTAGTTTTTGACTTTATGTTGCTGACTTATTTCACTCAAGATAATGGCTTCCAGTTTCACTCACATTGATGCACTAGATATGATTCCATTATTGTTTATGGCTGGTTTTCCTTGGTGTGTATATACACACACACACACCCAGGATATTTTTAACCCACTCATCAGTTGAAAGACCCTTAGTCTGGTCTTTGCTATTTGAATAGTGCTGTGATAAGAGTCCAGGTACCTTTTAGATATAATGATTTATTTTCCCTTGGGTATATACCCAGTAGTGAGAAAGCTAGTCAAATGGTATTTCTACTTTTGGTTCTTTGAGAAATCTCCATATTCTTTGTTCACGAGACTGGTGGCCTTAAGCATGGCACCAATGATAGTTTCCCCAGAGCACTGCAGGCAGATATGATCAGATTTATGTTTCAAATGCTGATTAGGATGATATTGTGGACAATTGAATAGAAGGGGCATGGTGGGAAAGGGAGACCAGTTGGGTAGGTGTCCCCTAATCAAGTTTGACAATCCAGTATCACCCATTAGTTAAGAGCATAGATTCTGACTGCCTATGTTTGAATGCAACGTCAATCTCTTGACAGCTATGTGACTTGAGTAAGTCACTTACCCAGTCTATGCATCAAGTTTCCTATCAGTAATTGGGAAATAATAATAATTCCTACCCAAGGGCTATCCTAAGTAAGAAATAAGTTAACATGCCAGAACACAGAGCAGGCACAATGCTAAGCATATGCTGTTGGTGAACTAGAGTGGTTGGAATGGGTAGAAAAGTGAGCGGAGCACACCTGAGTACATTCAGGTATTACAAGGGGCATGACTCAGTGACAGCCTGACTTTGGGAAGGGCACAGAGGTGGTAGTGTCACGTGTCAGTCACTGCGATGGAAGTACTGCAGAGACAGGGATTGTGGGAGTGATGGGGACTTTCAAATGCAATGTTATTATTTTTTAAAAAATGATAATTCTTAAGGTAGTGCCTGTGGCTCAGTGAATAGGATGCCAGCCCCATATACAGAGGGTGGTGGGTTTGAACCTGGCCCTGGCCAAATTGCAACAAAAAACTAGCCAGGCATTATGGTGGGCACCTGTAGTCCTAGCTACTCTGGAGGCTGAGGCAAGAGAATCGCCCAAGCCCAAAGGCTGGAGGTTGCTGTGAGCTGTAATATCATAGCACTCTATTGAGGGCAATAAAGTGAGACTCTGTCTTAAAAAAATAATAATAGTAATTCTTAGCCAAAATATTTTGATAATATTTTGTGTTTTATGTGTAATGGAACACATGGGGTAATTTAGGTTAATTTATGGGAAAGATTAAACTTGGGAGTTCTTTATTTAGTTGTTACTTGACTGAGTGACACAAGGTGAGACTTTTCCCTTTCCAGAGGTGTGTCTCTGTGTGTGTGAGGTGAGTCTAGTGTCCACCTTCTCTTAAAAGAGTTTGGGTCAGCATTAGAAGTCTTTGGAAGCAAATTGACCTAATAAAAAAAACATAATAAATACACTGCAGATTTTTTCCAGATTATGTAGGGACTAAGTAGGTCATGACCTATTATGAATGTATATAAATCTCAGGTGACTATAGCAGTGTTTGTTGTTGTTGTTTTGTTTTTTAGACAGGATATTACCGTCACCCAAACTTGAGTACAATGGTCTCAGCCTAGCCCACAACAGCAACCTCAAATTCCTGGGCTCAAGCAATCCTCTTGCTTCAGCTTTGTGGGTGCCGAGGATTGTAGTTGCCCACCACAACACCTGGATAATTTTTGTATTTTTAGTAAAGATGGGATCTCACTGTTGCTCAGGCTGGTTTTGAACTCCTGGCCTCAAATGATCTTCCCAGAGTGCTAGGTTTACAGGTGTAACCCACTGTACCCCGCCTACAGTTTGTTCTTATAACTAACAATTTTTCATTGCCCATGTTTATATTTGTCCTAAAACATGTTTATTCTTATGTAGCTTGTTAAACAACAGTGTATATATTATCTTGTAGCCATGAATTATTGCTTTTTATTCTTTATAATTCTCCCAAAGAGCACTAAGTTACTAAATGTTGAGGATCATTAAAATGCATATATATCTCTCTCAATCTGTTTATGATTTTGTATTTTATATTAAAGAACATTATGTCTCAAGCAAATCCATCTGATTGCATGTCAATTTCAATGATTTATTTTTTCTGTTTTCCCTGTTCTTCTAGTCTGCTCCCAGTTTTCAAGAGGAGTCTATGCTATTTTTGGGTTTTATGACAAGAAGTCTGTCAATACCATCACCTCATTTTGTGGAACGCTGCATGTCTCCTTCATCACGCCCAGCTTCCCCACCGATGGTACACATCCCTTTGTCATCCAGATGAGACCTGACCTCAAAGGAGCCCTGCTTAGCTTGATTGAATACTATCAATGGGACAAGTTTGCGTACCTCTATGACAGTGACAGAGGTAAGTGGCAATATCTCATCTCTCTGTAATGGGCCAAGTTCAATGCCTACACTTGACCCTTACATGTGATGTTGTGCAGCTATAAAGATTTTAAAGCTCAGGGTTTAATTAAAGCTTGGTTTAATTGTGCTATGGGAACGAATAATGTTATTTGAAACCTGGGAAACAAATTTAGAGTGAAACAACACCAAAATCTGTGAATGTATAGTTTACAGAGATTGACTATATCAACCCAGTGACCAAATATTCATTTGTAAAATAAAAAGCCATTTCTGACATAAGCATCTAAGACCCTATGATGACTGCTATATTACTAGTCCAACGTGAATGACATGGCTTATGTGAAGTGAAATTTACATAAATATATAAATAACAACTTTCATGGTGATGTATAGTTTCTATTTACTAAATATCAGGTAGCATTATTATTACCCTTACTTTAAGATCCCTGAATCTCAGAGAAGTTACATGACTTTCTCATGATCATGTGACATAGTCTGAACACAGGTCTGTGATACTAGACTCATGCTTTTTACACAATTCCACATGGTTATTAATGATGTGATAATCTTGTTAGCACGCCAGTCTTGTTATACTGAAGTGCATGGAGGGGGCAGTCCTTCGCTTACCTTTCCCATGTCCTTTGTTAGGAAGTTTAGTATTAGCAGACCCACTTGATTTACATGCCATAGAATCCTACGTGTCCTTAACCATTCCTGGATCCATGTTTGCGTTTTAGTGGGTCTGTGTACCCCCTCAGTTGTACAAAACATGTTGTGTGCGTGTTCATGGGTATTTTTCTACAGAGATGATGATGATGATGAAAATCTGAAGGGTTAGAATCCACTATTGTCAGAGTGTCCCCTAAATGCCACTCTATGCTTCCTTTGGCAGCTTTCTTCTCAGAATATGTACAAGTTCAAGTGAAAACAAGAAGCCTCTTTCTACCAAGATAGGGCACCTTGCAAACCCACAAGGGCAGACGAGAAGAGACCAGACGTCAGTCAATTCTCCATTGATCAGTTTCTAGTCATTCACTGCAGCAGCAGGCGAGGTGTCTGATTCTCTGCCTGTCCTCCTAGTCCTGGAATGAGAGCACGCAGTGCGAAAGCCAGTCAGTCAGCACTGTATAAGCTGGAAAAATGCTGTGTCAAGAACTATTTTCCCTTGCTTTGAGAAGGGAGGGCTTTGCTACTCCCATAGGGAAGGAAACACTGAAACAGAGAATCATTTAGATGAAACATGGATTTCAAGGTGCTGGAGGATTCTGAAGCATACTTCTTATTATTGCGATAAAAGGGCTTATACTACTGACCTTAGTAAATATCTTTAGTTTTTCTTTTTGCTCTCTTCAAAGTCTTTTATGTCTTTTGTTATTATTATTGTCAAAAGTAGTCTGAAATCTAGGTGTACTTTTTTTTTTTTTTGAGACAGGGTCTTGCTCTGTCGCCCTGCTAGAATGCCATGGCATCATTGTAGCTTGCTGCAACCTCAAACTCCTGGGCCCAAGCGATTCTTCTGCCTCAGCCTCCTGGGTAGCTAGAAATACAAGCATGCATGGCTAGTTTTTCTATTTTTAGTAGAGATGGGTTTTATTCTTGCTTATGCAGGTCTTAAACTTCTGAGTTCAAGGGATCCTCCCACCTTGGCCTCCCAGTGTGCTGGGATGACAGGCCTGAGCCACAGCATCCAGCCTGGGTATATTCTTATTGTCTCTTCCACCCTTGCATCCTGTTGGTGCCATTTCTACCACTGCATCTCTAGACACTCTTCTTTTTCTTAGTCATCACCTGAGGCCAAGCCACCACCATGTGTTTGATCCCCCCACGTGTCTTTCCTCCCGCACAAAGTAATCAGAATTATTATTTTTTCAAATATCTTCTTTGACTGCCTCACCTCCTTGTTTAATACATTTCAATTTCACAACTTCTCAGTGTGATGAGGATAAGACTGAAAATCCTTAGCATGCCTTTAAAGCAGCGGTTCTCCACCTCACCACCCACAGGAACAGTATTAAAGGGGCGCGGCATTAGGAAGGTTGAGAACCACTGCTTTAAAGCCTGAGAATAGGCCATTCCCACTCAGTTCTGTATCCTGCTGTCTTGTTCACTCACTGAAGCCAAACCCATTTGTCCTTCGTTCACTTTCACAGAGACCCCAGCCTCTCCCACTTTGACCCTCTGCACATCCCTTTCACTCTCACCCATCCCTGATGAGTGCATTCATACGTGGTATCCTCAGAGATGCCTCCCACGACTGTTCTTTTCCCAGAGTGATATCTTTTTTCTTTCACTGGACGTATCACAATTATCAAGTAATAGTAGTGTTTATTCTGTCACTCACGTACTGCCTCTTAAGCCCCTGCTGTTTTCTAGGATAAACATGACGCTTCTTTGTTTTTTCCTTTTTTAATTTAAGTTGAGGCTACAATGTCCAGGGAGGCCATACGCAGGGCATTGCTTAGTACATTGGGTGTATAGCTCTTAACTTTAGACCAGACACTCCAGAGAAAACTGGAAATAGACACGATGTTCACTAATGTTAATAAAGAAATAACTTGAACATCTGTGCACAGTATTTTAAGTTTGAGATGATTTTAGAAGCTGAATTATGCTTGCTATGTGGAAGGCTCAGAAGATGAATTCTCTTTGCTGTTTGACAAGGTGGAAGATGAAATTTTAGGTTAAGAATATAATTTACCTTCATCCTCATTCTCATTATTTGTCCCTGCAGCTGAAAATGAACTTCTGAGAGAATTCAAATGAATAGTAGCTCACACAAATAAAAATACAGAAACCTTGGTATTTGAAAAGAGGAAGTCAGAAAGACAGGCTCTAAGGAATTAGCAGGGGAAGACGGATAGACATACATACTTGTGAAAAGAATCTGGAACATTTTAAAATGATTTTATTAACACTTTAAAAATATTACATGAAATTGAGGTGATGATATAACCTCCAATTATTAAATTATACAAAGTGATTTGAGTTCAAAAGTATCACGAGAGAAGAACATTAGAGTGATAATTAATTCTATATGAAAGGCCTCACGAACTTACGGATACATTTTTAAGGCGTTACCAAGTAGCTATTGAGGTTTTAATGTGTAAAGCATTACACTGGGCTTTCACTTGGAACAATTTTCAGAGATAATTGCATAGGACTCTCAAAATGTTGACAAAAGAGTTGACCTTTGAATCATATCTTAATTGGCTCATGGAAATGAAATTTTTGTTATCTGATATTTTCTTATTAATGACTTACTTTTTATGGCTTTGCTACAATATTACATTTTATAATGTTTATGTATGCATTCAGC